GGAGCTGAGGTCCGGGAGGGGGGAGGAGGAGGGGGTGGGTTTGGTGTCCGTGTGGATGTGCATCGAATGTACACAGAGCCGGCGCTGCTCGAGAGGGAACGCCTGAATGTCTCCGTTGTGCTCCGGTGGCACGCGAGTCCCGGTTGAACACCGGCACGGCGTCGTATTTAAATGTGACAATCGTTTTTCTCAGGGTCGCGGAAGTTTGCTTTTCAGCCTCTTCACGGTCCCTCCCGGTAACTTCTCTCTTGTTGCGTTACGGAGGCATCGAGACGAGGCACCCACGCCGCCCGGTGTTTCGCTGAGCTGTATTCTCGGCCGGTATCGGGGATCGATGCGCCGTACGTGTTCCGATTGATCTGCGCGATAAATTAGGTACTTTCCATTCGTATTTGCCGTGGAAGCTTCTCTGCTATTTTTGGGAGCCCCGAGTTCAGTCGATGGAGACGCCGCTCGTCGAGTGTATCTTTCATCGTCGAGAGGGATGGGACGATTCCTCGAGCGTGTAATTGCGAATCCGCGCAAGGAACAGAAGCGATATTGGGCTATACATTTTCTTTGTACGAGGCTTGGTTCGCGAGAAAATCCGCATTGAAGATTTATCGAGTCCGAGGGAGATACGTTGGCCGCTCGAGGTCACCGATGCTCTACCTCCACCACGCACTCTCGAACATTATTGGTGTTTTTTCATTTGGTACCAATCGTGGAAGTTTTCTATTCACGGGACGATTCTGCGAGCGTGCAATCGCGAATCCTCGCGAGGAACAGAAGCGATATTGGGCTATACATTTTTTTCGTACGAGGCTTGGTTCGCGAGAAAATCCGCATTGAAGATTTATCGAGTCCGAGGGAGATACGTTGGCCGCACAAGGTCACCGACGACCTACCCCCACCACACGCTCTCGACCATCGTTGATATTTTTTTTCATTTGGCTACGTGGAATTTTTCTATACATTTATCGGAATTCTAAGCAAACGTATTCGTCTCTGTCGTAATGTCTTACGCGAGAAACATAAAACGACGTTGCGCAACCTTTTCCTACCATGTGACGATGTTACGAGCCATTGTTCCACGTAACCACATTTTATTGTCGTTTACGCATCTCGTACGAGTTTCGCAAGAATTCATCGAGATTGTTATTCGCATCTCGCAAGTGTGGACGTTGCCTAAGCTTCGGAATATAACAACCCTTTCGCTGTATCGTACATACCGCGACGAAGTCTCGTCACCTCTGACCTCGTCATCCTGATAATTATTCCCACAAACTTTCCGCAAGTGTGAACGAGTGTTAAAGAGGACCACACACCGAAACCTTTCTCGCTTATTATACCCAGCTCCGTTCTTGACCGTGGCCGCGCGACGAGCCAGCTAGACGTTTCCAGGCGCGTGCACTAGACGGCTCTAGACGATTCGAAGATGACTTTGTCGCGTATAAAGAGCCTCCGTGTATTTTCCAAGCCTCGCGTCGTCCTCTCGCCTCCCTTCGGTCCCTTTCACGTGCGACGGCGGTCGGGTTGTCTGTCATCCGTGTTCCGTCTCCCTGACCCGTCCGTCGCTTTTTTTTTTCTCTCTTCTCTCGAGCTCGCCAAAGAGGAACGTGCGAACGCAGCCTCGCACACAAGGTGAGACACGGCCACTCGTCGCTATTTTCGCGCGCGCCCTCCACGCCCCTGCTTGTATTGTTCCGCGGCTCGTATCGGCCCTTGTTAATTGGGGGAAGGATAATTAGCGTTCGATCAGAGTTCGGGTCGCGCAACACGCTTCGTTGGAAGTAAAAATGATCACAATGGCTCGCGCGCGCCCGCTTCCTCTCCCGATAGGTGGTAACATGCTTTCTGATCCGGTTGGAAACTGGGTCGACGTGTTTTCGCGGTCAAATCGTGTGTATTCTGCGCTAGGGGGGTCGCCGTTTTGTTTGTCACGCGCCGACTGGCGCTGGGTCGCCTCCGTGTCCCTAACGGGACACAATAGGCCGATGCAAAATCATTTAGACGGTATGTGGAGCGAATATCGTTGCGCGAACCTGTGCTGGTGGATTCCTCGTCGAAACGGGAGTCGTCGATGTGGGGTCGATCTTTTTCGTACGGGACTTCCTTTCGATAAAAAACTCATTTTAAGCAGGATGCATTAGCAATCGTTGTCGAGACACGCGGGAAGCGATTCGTCGCGCGAAACTGGATCGAAATTATACTTTGTATTTTTTTCGTACGACGCTTGGTTTTCGAGAAAATCAATATCGAAGATTTTGTAGATCAGAGCGAGATATATTGGCCGCTCAAGGTCATCAAGACACTCTCCCTCTCAATATCGCTTAGTCGCCCGTACTACCTCCCACACGTTTTCCTAGTAAGATTGACCGTATCAGTCTCACGCAAACACCATAATCTTTAAATTCTAATGTTTATCGAACAATGTTCAAGCCCTTTGCTCCGAAGTCGCTTTCAGCGGGCAGCATCGGATTCCCTAATTGTACGTTTCGTAATTGATCGTAAACTCGAGGGAATCGCGACATTTTCGCGAATATTTCGCGACAGTGCAATCGTCTGGCGCGGTTCAATAAATGCGCGAGGTCATATTCATCGCGCGCCGCGCGGAGCCAATAGAATTAATTTGCGAATTTATCCACGACGCGAGGTTTCCTTGCATTCAATGAAAGTGAAATTAAGTCGGCTTCATCGAGTAGCTCGCTATGCTTGTCGAGCGACGCTAGACGCCGCGCGATATGGAATTTTTCTGGTATCGGTAAAGAGTTAAATCTGGTCCTCGATTAATTGAAATTCGAGAGCTGGAGTTATCGTACGATTGGAATATTAATTTAATCGTGGGCTCTTCTTCGTGCTTCGTCTCGCGGCACAAAAATCGAAACTTAGTTTTCGTTTCTGTTCGCAACAGTTTGAAATCTGTTAAATAATATGAATCGTAAGTAACAGTTCGATGATTCGACATGTCTGTTCGTAGAGATCTGTTACGCATAGTAATGTAGATCCATCCCCGGAGAGCGCGCAACACAGCATTCAATTTTCTGAGGCCAGTTTCAAGTACGCCAATGAATATTTATCAGCGCTGAATCAAAAGACTCGAAGCTTTCGGAATACAAATCGTCACGCATTTACCGCTCGCGAAGCGAACATCAATGGCTTGCGAACGAGAGTATCGTGAATAAGCAAGGATTTATATCTCGCCTCGTTTCTTCGACATCGGCTTAAATAACTCCTCGTGAGATGAATAAATTATTTAACGAGTCGGTCGAAAAAGAGTGGTGGGGAGAGCCCTATCGGTGACCTTGAACGATCAATTTATCTCCCTCGTACCAAATAAATATTCAATCTGTGTTTTCTCGAAAACTAAGCCTCGTACAAAAAAAGTGTTGAGTACAATTTTGCTTTTGTTTCACCCAAGGATCCAATTGACATTAATAATTCTTCGAATTTCGAATATGTAGTAACCTTAACAAAAATATGAACGATAGTTGTCCACGAATGGTGAAGAGGGTTAGAAACAGAAAGCTTTGTAAACGTCGCGGTATCGCAAATGGTGGACATTTATCTGGGATTGCGATCAGAAGCTCTCGGTAACTGCATGAAAAATCGTTTTCAGCCAAACGAGCTGTCGATAACAGAGGTCTGGGATCGTTATGCGACCCTCCTTGTCGTTGGGTTTTCTTGCGATTTACTTTTATCGATAGGTTCTCTTTGTCGTGCGTCGATTACTTTGAGCCATTGTGCCCGAAACGATTAAAATGTCTCTGAAAACGTTGAGGAAACACTAATCTCGCGAAAACTTCTGTTGCAAACAATTAACCTTCGTTTAATTGTAACGAATAAAGTCTTCGTTAGCTTCCTAGTAAACAGTTTGTAGCGAGCGAGGCACTCAAATAAACAAAAAAAAGAAAGAAGAATAATTAGAAAATGTGACCTATTTTTTAGCGAACAAGATGGAAAGCCGCGTTAAATATACAACGCTCTCATCCCTGACATTTCCCTCTTCCGAATTGTCCGGAAACGCGATCTCTTAATTGTCTGGAGTAACGTCACGGTGAAAGGGTATCGATTTATGAGCCGCGGGACAGGAGGAGCGAGAGAATCGACGGGCAATTTGTCGAGAGCGATAAAACGCGACGATAAGCCACGGAGAATCGTCCAGAATCGCAAGGACGACGCTGAGCGAGAGAGAGATGGATAGATTAAGATGTGGAACGCAAGTTGAGAGCCTGTTTTGCGAGAGGACCGCTTAGGCCAGTCAATTCCAAGGGTAACTACAGTGTTCGGCTCGACTTTGTTCTCGAGAGAGACGAGGGGGTACCCATAGAAAAAAGAAACAGAGGGTTCGGTGTAGCGGCAAACTATAAAGCGATCGCTCGAGCACGGCTGTTGTTCTTTGGAGAAGGACAGAATATGCCTTCTCATTTCAGCACTGGTAAAATCGACTTCTTTTCGAGTCTCTCACTCGGCGGGCAACTTTAAACAAAACGGCGGGGATAGCGAGTTGTTTATTTAGAGGCGGGAAACAGTTGCTTATTTCGAGACAGTACTGTACCAGGAGCATATGGGCTCCCTCCGTTGATGAAAGCCCGTGACGACGATTAGCGTTCACTAAACGAGACAGGGTGGACCTCCACGTGTCCCAATCCCTCGCTATTTGTGTTTTCTGCGCTCTATTAACTCCCTCGCTTCGAGTGTTCGAATTGCACCAGTTTTAAGAACGGTTCCCACCCCTCCCTCCGTTGATGAAAGCTCGTGACGACGATTAGCGTTCACTAAACGAGGCAGGGAGGACCTCCACGTGTCCCAATCGCTCGCTATTTGTTTTCTGCGCTTTATTAACTCCCTCGCTTCGAGTGTTCGAATTGCACCGGTTTTAAGAA